GCGAGCAGACTGAGCAGAAGCGGCAGATTGAGACAAGGTAGAGCGAGTGGTCCGGCTATTATTAGGTGCAGCCTGAGTGGCCTGCTTACGTGCCTTCTTCTTTCTCTCTTCCTCTCGCTTCTGGCGACGATGGTCCACCATGGCGGGGATGGGAAGAAGGGAGCGTGAGGGGAAGAGGCGAGTTCGGATGCGACGCGATGCGACTCGAGACGCGTTCACGACGTGGCAGACCGGGACTTGCCGGGTTCGGAGTGTGGCACAGTGTGGCCCCCCGGACTGGGGCAAGATGTTCTGCAATGAAAACAAGGTCGTTTCGGGCCAAATCTTTTTGTAGCAGGTCATACCATTGCCACTGAATGGACGCGTACAATTTGTTCATCGAAATATGCACGCATTCACGTTCCCTAGCCCGAAATCTGAGCCATCTCTCATTGCTGGCACCCAGGACAACACTGTGAAAATTGAACCGTTTTCGCTCGAATCTTGCTCTCGCACCTTCGCAATTGCGTTCGGCATAGACCTGTGGTGTCCGCTTATTTTTATGTGTCCGCGTTGTGGAGTAGGGCTCGAAAAGTCGAGCAGAGAGCAGCCCCACAGGGCCCTGTTTCTGAGGGAGCAATATAGCGGTCGTTTCGTCCCGTTATTTCTGTAGGCATCTCGACCTCGTTTCGTAGTATAGGAAAATGGTCAGCTACATGTCATTATGTTGTGTTTTCGTAGAGATACAGGTCGAAAGTCCTCAGGCCCTTTGAGGTGCCCGATTTCTCGGGAAATCCCGCCGCGGAAAGGATATATGCAAACAGCAATAAGGTCATGAGCTTTTTGTAAAGAGCTCTAGGCTTAGTACAGGGACTCTTTAAAAAGAGGCAACAGCATCTGGTGGTGTATAATATGACACAGTATCAGCTTATACTCTATGTACATCACAATAAATCAAAGTAGAAACGATCTCACCTCTTCCAAACCTTCAGGAAAAAGAACAACCTGCCCAACATTAATCCACTTGTCTTTTGGGCCGGATGTCTCCGCATTACCACCTGTCTTAGCCTTTCCCAGTAATGAACGTCAAATCTTGGTATGTTTCGTCAGGAAAAAGGTCAGTGCATACCTTGCTCGTTGTGAGCTTCCCACCTGAGGAGTGTCCTACTGTTTTGCTTGAAGATGCCTTGCTGGATGACCCTGAGGCCTTTGTGCTGCCCGGCCGATAGTTGGCTAAGGCTTCGACTCGAGCTTCTTCGGCAGTCGTGTCCTCACCAAGCCGCAGAATATTAACCGCAGGCCGTAAATTATCCAGGACACGCTGAGATTCACTTGAAGGTATCGGAGCCACTGTAATCTCTGGATGAGCGCCTTCGATGTGACCGCAATCACGGCATAACTGCTTCCCGGAGGTCGGCTTCATGGGTTTTATAAAACGGCGGCATGGGCAGCGTTTACCATTCTCATCGGCAGAGCAAGTGTCGGGTGTATGAGCATGGGGGGCCATTGGAGATGTGGAAGAACGGAGGTTTGGATGAGAGAACTAGACGACGGAATTTGAGGAAATTTTACAGTGAATTTATCCGGCAAAATATTGGGGCGCCGATTATTCTTGGTTATTACGCCACTTGTTCCACTCATGATGTGGCCCAAAATTGGTGGTGCAATACACTAGGTTGAAAGGTTTGATTCATTGTCGCTATCTATAAGTATCCTCTCCATCAAATCCAGTCCCTGCACCCAAGCAAGTGCTCTGGGCCACCATATTTCCACCGGTAGAATCACTTTCAGCTTCTTTTTCCCACCAACACCGAACGTAATTGTCTCAGACAAAGGATAGAAGGCATCCTCCCACTCCTCGGGCTTCAGCCCATAACCGTCTAGAACTACCTGTCGCTCCTGCACTTTCTGTAATGCCACAAAGAATACAGCAGAGGTTGAAGGAGAGAATAGGCACGACCTGGGAGGGACAGGAATGGCGTCATGACGGATACTCTCCTCGAGATCCTCCGCGATCAGTTCCTCTGCGTTCTCATGAGGTTCGTTGTCAGTGTCGCCTTTATCTGAGCTAAGACCTCCCTCGTCATCTGGGTGTCCTGCACCGGTCAGCCCAGGACGGCAGCGGCGGGGCAAGCCTTCTACGCCATAGTACTGGTTCGGTACACTCGGATGAACTCCTGGTTGATCTTTGTCAATGCCGTGCTCATGAAGGTGTTATGGACACTTTTTCTTCTTTGTTACTTCGTGTATCTTTTCCTTTTCTTTTCCTTTACCGCGTTCCTAGTAAGGCGACACACACCCGGACTTCGGCTCGATCCTTTCTTACTAAAATCCCTTTAAAAACCTTTCTACAAACATATCTCTTTCTCTTATGGACACGTATACTTACCTCGGACACATACGATAGTTGGCTGGACACGTAGGAGGACTGCGGACACGTTACTTCTGTCTAACACAGACTATCTTGGCGTGGCTTGACTCTGGCTCGGCGGAGCAGACAAACTCTTAGGCTGATGTGGCGGACCTAGATGACGTGGCGATTCACACGGACTTGTATTAGTATAAATATCGGACCTTTGTAGTCGAGATTCTCCAACCTGTTCACTTGTATCGTACCTACAGTGTTTCAGTTGAATTCACCAGAATTCTCGATATCGTCTTGTGCGACCTCAAGACGATACCCCTCGAATCTCGACTACTGAAGAGCTTTACCATTAGAACCTCGAATCCACATCAGCTCTAGCAGGACGCCTGCCTCAGAAGAGGACGCCTCATCTGAACGAACTCGATCCTAGACCGGACGCCGCGTCTAGACGAACTGAGCCAGAACCCCGGATCCGGAACCTCCAAAGCCCCTCGCTGATCGCCCAAGCCGACGGCGCCGAACGACTCGATCGTTCCCCGCTTCACAAAACCAACGCCGCCCTTAAGCCTAGCTTAAGCCCGGTCGTAACAGAAGGCTTTCAAAGCGGATATCCTAAGATTGCGGGTGAAGGATACTCATCAGCCTGCACGTGAACGTTAAATATACAAGGGACGGTCAGAGCTGAACTCACCAAAGGTGACCTATTTTGTGTAACCGGTCCTGAAATCGGATGATGGTTCCATGCGTCCACAAAGGCGGTACAGTCCTGATTGATAATATCGAGAAATAATACTTGAAGAAGCCATAGGTGGGTAGGGTTTAGGCGATCAAGGCCATGGTGTGTATGAAGACGAACGAAAAATGTGCGCCATCGCCGTGCAAACTGAGAGCCGACTTCTACCCAGGTGTGTTTTATTCTTGTATTCTTCTCTGAGCTATACAAATTAGACAAATCAATTCAAGTTCTGCAAGGAAAATCAAACGGACAATGCACGAGCCCCACATGAATGACACTTGATTAGCACCACGATGCATGATCATCCAGATTGCTACCCTCAGATTCTCTCCACCACGATCCCCACGAGCACGACCAGGGCAGCCAAACTCCTGGACGGCTTTGAGAAAGAGTTGGAGAACAGTGGAGGCCTGGTTGTCGGTATGAACTCTCATGCCTGTTATCTAGACATCACATAGTAACCATTAATCAATTTCGGGCGCGATCCATGCAACATTGGCAGGCGGGCCTGAGCAAGAAATCACGTACTGTATGGTCATGTCCGTCAATAATCCCATGGATCACAAAACCCCAAAGGATCAGTTTATGGTGGCCATCAAGATGCCAGAGGTAGTTCGATCTTGGTACTGAGTACCACCGGTCGTCAATGGCCTCGTGGTTCTACAGGGCCTGTGCAAGGCCATCCACACAACGAAGGCTCAGTCGTATACGCTCACGCTGGACTCGCACTCCCAGACCTCGCAGAAATCCTAGTATGTATCAAATTCCAGACCCGGGTTTAATGGTGCGGTATGCGATGAGGATGGTGTCGAGTTCGTCGTCAGACATGTCGCTGAACTTTCTCTCCACGTAGGCTCCATGGATTTTAGCGTAATGTCGCAGCGTGTGGCGGTGGACGCCTATGATCCTGGAAAGCTTGGTGAGTGAGATCGCCCTCTTCTTGCTTAGAGCATCACGGAGCCATTCTAGCGATATGTTCTTTCTTGGGCGACCACGCCGACCGGTGTGTTCTACAATTACCACATTGCTAGGTCGCCGTACAGGTCCTGATTCACTAAATAACTCGAACAAAGGTCAGTCAAAGAGGACCTCCGAGGGGCTCCAAATCTCTAGCACATATGAATGCAGAGAAAATATAACCCAGAGACTGATAATCAAGGGGTACTCACACATGATCGACCTCATGGGCATTTCGCTCAATGTGTAACACCATGCTCGCCAGTAACTCAGCTATGCTCTTAACCCAGTCTCTGTCCATGCCCTCACGTTCTAGCGCATCTAGTAGAGGAAATGTGCAAGCCAAGATTCTGTCGGCATTGATGCGCAGGCGATGAGCATCTTGCTCGCCTTCCTGAACTACGAGAAGAGCGCAACAGTATGCACGGTCAATGAGGTTATGAGCGCGCTGCACATTTGCAGACCAATTCCGTCCATTGTCTTCTGATGGGTCAGGAAGAGCAGGAATATGAGAAGGAAAGGCCATGGTGGTATTGCAATCTGGGGATGTGAGCTGAACGTTCAACACGGGGCCACCAGGCGTCTGCCGGAGGTCTTGAAAATCTGACCGTATCTGGTCGTCGCCCCTTCAGTCAAGACTCTTTCCTTCTTCAACCATGGGCCCCACAGATCCCCCTCCATTTCCCAACCGTCATGAACGTTACTACTTCAATGATGGCTCCTTGGTACTTCAGGTATGCCCGCTGCTCTCTCAGCTTTTGTTTCATCTTTCTGACCTTATTTATTCCCGTTGCCTTCAGTGCGAGGGCGTCTTATACAACGTCCACCCATGCCTTCTCTCAGCTTGCTCTGCGTTGTTTCAGGATATGCTCTCTCTACCTCAGAGTGGACGCAACCAGCAACCAGGTGAGCTGGAACCTACGGCGGGGTCTTCAAACACGCACCCTGTTGCCATTACCTCCATGAAGGCCGACTTTGACAATCTCTTGCTGTACATATATGACAGGTCCGTCATTGTCTGCTGTCTGGTTTTCTCCGGCATTGGCTAAATATTGACCGGCAGCTACCTTCAAAAGAACCCATCTCTCGAGTACTTGCTCAGTATACTCAAGATGTCCCACTTCTATATCATCGAAGATGGACTGCAGTATGCATTCAACGCACTCGAAAAACACACAGGCCTCACGGCGCAGCTTCGTATGCATCTCGCTCTCCAGTACAACCACCATCAATGGATTGAGCCCGTGTTTCGTGGTTTAATCACCCGACCTGCCAACAAGTTTACACTCGACGACGTAGCTCAGATAGGCACCGAGGCATATTTTGTTGTTACTCATACCCAGGCGAGGCTGGATCATCTGATCCGATCCATGGCCTGTTGGCCACCAACAGTACTTCATGGACTCAGTTGTGAAGACCAGGAAGCTTGTGATGAGATGTGGGAGAACACCTGGTGGGGTGGATTCACGAAGCAGCTGTTCCATCCCGACCGCCCAGCCAACCTGTTTGACGCCCTCGAGACCTTGCATGACATATATATTCCTGGTTTCAATGCCGTGTGCAAGATGAAGACGCTGGACAAGCTGATGGAGAATAGCCCGTTAGAACGTGTGGAAGTCATTATACGGGCTGGTATCCGGGCGCTTGGGGGGTTTAGGAAATCCGGGGAATGAGAAGGTTCAGAAGCTTCCTTAGAGGGAAGGGTGTAGGACAGAGTTTAGTTGTTGACATATATGTGCCACACTTCGCTGTTACTATACGATCAATGTCAAAATATTGGATACAAGTTCAATGAGAGCCGACACATTTTGATTGTGAAGGGAGACATACGCCTTGCCCGTAACTGTCCAGGGAGGACTCAGTATTGATCGCCGTGAAAGGACGTCCCATTACACCTCCGCTCCCAACATTCTTCGTCAGACTCTTCCACATATCTCTCAAACCACCCGTTCCTAGCTTCGACATCTGTCTTTGCTTCTTCTTGACCCCATGATGCACAGGGGGTACCTTCGGCCTCAAGCTATAGTCATCCGGCTCTTATTTCGGATCGTCTACACATGTTATTCTAGTTTCGCTAGTGGTGTCCTCGAATTCTCTGAACAAGCCATCACAGCGATGATATCAGAACAAAGGATTATATCTGTTGGACAGGTGATTACACCGCTAACTATGAAAGACACACCTCTTACGAATGCAGGCGCAAACACTTGTGTCATCTGCATAATGAGGTTACACTCCCTCGCCACACTAACAGCCGTAAGCGCATTATCACCCGTAATCATCCTACATGGAAGATGCACTTGTCAGAGTGCTGCAATGGCGGCCACTGTACCTGGCTTAAGCTGTCTTCGGTCAGCGTCCCGGTCTTGTCGAAGCAGCAGACGTTGATCTTTCCCGCGACGTTAATGCGACAGGGGGTGATACGCTCGTGGCGAGACGGTCGACGTGGAAGTGTGCTTCTCTACACAGGAACTGAATGAGGGAGTTACGGAGAGTTTGTTATCTTTGGCTACCGGAACTGGGTCTATGTTGCATCACAGTTTGACTCAGACTTGTTTGACAGTGGGGTCACAGCTAGACGCACCTCAATCCTCTACAGACTGGCTCAGCAACGAACCTGTAATATCCTGACCGGTACTGGAGCTGGATGGGGGTAAATCGGACGGTTTGTGTCCATTTGACACTGGAACTGGGACTATGATATGTCACGATCAATACAGGTTTGTACGATGATGAAGGTCACAGATAGACGAACCTTGATCCGCTACGGGCTCGCTCAACGACGAACTTCCTATGGCCTCAACCGTCCTTGCATGAGCAGGGCTATTTTCGCCTGAACAGGCCTTTCCTGAGCTGTGCTCGCCACATTGGTATTCGCTTGAACAGGACTTTCCTCGGTCATCATCTCCACAACCATTCTTGCCTGAGCTGGACTCTCCTGAACCGTCCCTTCCACAGCCTTCATCACCTGAACCGGACTCGCCACGGCCGTCCTCACGTCAACCGCCCTCCGATCAATCGTACTCGACTCTACCATGCTGGCAGTCTCTGCCACCGGAGTGTCCTCATCCTCGTCTTCATCCCCATCCTCGTCAACGCAAGTCTCGAAGCCCGAGTCTGACGAAATATCCTCCACACCACCGTGTTCTTCATCTTCCTCCGAGTCACCTTCCTCGCATATCTCGAGTTCCGGATCCTGCCACTGGTTCCCCTCGTTCGCTATTATCCCATTCGGCACGCTCCCAGACTGAACGTTCGACTCCGAGGTATCCGAACCGTCTCCGTCGTTAGATGTACGCTCTTCCTCTTGAATGATGATTGTGGGGCCTTCGATTGCGAGGATGGGAGAGATGCCGTTCGGAACGTTGGGAGAGGCGCTGCCAGTGTTCGTGGTGGCGAGAGACTGAATACCATCCGGTATAATATGACGTTGTGTCGCAGGGACTACTGCAATGGTCATGCTCCCAGGAACATCCACCTCCATCGTCAGACATATCTTCTTCCTCTTCATCACCAGACGTCTGCCCCTCATCTTCATCTTCATCGACAATTGTAGTATCCTCATTGGAAGGAACACTACCCGCAATAGCGAGGAGCGAATGCCCTCCATCCAGCATAATTCGCTGTCGTGACCGAACGAGCAGGTATCCTTGACCGAAGGGTGTGACCACTCCACGAGCCTGAATACTGGCGGCGGAATAGGATTCCCAGGCACCAGGGAAGGAAACAATGTTCTTGGCGCCGAGACCGGAGGGCGCGAATATGATGGCTTGACCCGTCTGGAGGCCTACGGCCTAAAAACAGCCACGAAGGATAAAAATGAACACCGCGCTTTGATGAACCCATGAGTGGTGGTGATGCAGAAAAGACCAACCTTTAAAACCAGCTCGTCCTGCCTCTCCTGCGCCACGCTCACATGCGCAGACAAGTGTCTTAACCACTTCGGGGACAAGAACCGATGTGCGATAATGAATGAGCTGAGCTCAAGGAACTTGGAGGAGACGACGGTCGGTTCTTGTGTGGAGATGAGGACGCGGGTGTTCAGGTGCCGTTGTTGGCGGATCGTGGTGAGGAGGGAGTTGGTGAGGCGGGTGGAGGCGCCGGTGTCGGATAGGTACTGGAGGGAGGGTGTAAGTAATGGTGGGACGTGAGAGTGAGATAAAGGCTGTAGGGCGGAAGGATTTTGTTGGTTTGTTCAGCTTACTTTGTGGGCTTCGTCGAGCACTAGCAAAATATACACCCATCAGCATTTGAAATAAATACATGACAGTGGACATGGTATACTGTACCTATCAACTTTCCGGTATTGACTTTCGCCTTAAGGAACAGACCAAGAATAATATCAAAGAAGCCACACGCCGACAAAGGATCCATAAACAGCGACGAAAGACTATACACCGAAAGCACATCGTAATCAGCCATTCCTTCCTTCCAAAATCATACACATTGACAAGATCGTACTCGGGGAACAGCTCACTCGATAATCGTCAGCCCCCCGACTTAGAATGCGTCTAGACGCTATTCTCGTCCGACCCGCCCTTGAGACAAGAATCTAACAGCACCAGATGAAGGTTCAACATCGCCTTCTGCGTCCCTGCGAAATTCTGCTGTGCGAGCATCGCTCAGAATGCGGTATAGTCGAAACCGTCGGTCATGTCGCGGAGGATGGTCATGATGAGCTCCATGTAGAGCAGCATTTCTGTGGTGTGAGTGAACAAGGAGTTAGCGTAAAGAAGAGAGGGAGGAAGAGGTGTGATATTTAATCTTGAACGAGGGAAATGGGAGGCAGGGCCAGAATAGAACAAGAAAGAAATGAAAAGGGACGAAACAAAATAGAGAGGAGCGTACCGGGGTGAAAGACCCTGAGAACGCCAACTACGGAAGTGTTGTCCTAGTTCTCCATACAGGATATGTGGGCGGCGAATACGATTGTCGGCGGAGAAGGAGCCATAGATCTTAATGACGCTGCGGTTGATAGTGAGCGCGGACTGGAGGGAGGGACTAGAGGGACAAGATGAACGTACAGGGAGCACCGTCAGTCTGCGGGTACGATATCGCCTTCGCAGCGTGGCTAAGATTGTGTTCCTTAGAGAAACTGACACCCGAGTTGGTGAGGAACAGGAGAACGAACCGGCAAGATCTCATCAATCAGGAGCATGATCCTATTTGGAAAGAGCGATGACACTAGACGATGGATGAGCTCAGTCGTGTTCCTAAACCATTGTTCTGAGCTCGTGTCTGTCGAGCGAGGTCAGCGAGGATTTGATGAGGAAACAAAGAAAGTTAGATAGCTGGTAAGGGCGTACCGAGGATCAAACTATTGTTCCGGATGGTGGAGGGGTCAACACTGCGTACATCCATATCCTGGACATGCACATCTCAAGGAGCAGCGAACCACAAGTGTAGTTTAACCTAGATGCCAACAGGGTCCCCCTGTACCTTTAGAAGGCTAAATGGCACCCACTCTAGCGTCCCGCTCCGAGTGATAGATAACACAAGTGAACACGGCACCAAGAGAAGACATGCGGATTAGGAGTAAGCAGACCAAACATGTCGAATAGGAAGCCAAGAATCACAGGAATATGTGCCGACATGAGTAACTCGCGAACGACATTGAGAGGAACCGATATGCGGGAGAAAGAGAGGAAGAGCAGGGAGGAAGAGTAAGAGTATTATATACTATTTGGATCCTTATTGTTCCAACTTGAAACCAGACAAAAGAACAAGGGAGTGGCCGTCTCAAACCTGACACAAGGACCACCGGCGTTGTCTGGAAACCATGCTAATAGAACAGCAGCAATCAAGATCGAGAGGCCCTAGAAATCAAATGGATCACGACCTAAGCAAGCCTTTCTGGGCCTTCAGAGCTTCAGCGCGCACAACACTCATAATTGATGAACAGAACAATTCAACGAAAGTGCGGACTTCGAAATGTGTCCCCGGAACTGTGGGGGAGATATCGGCCCCACAGTTCCGGGGACATGCTCGCTTGGCCCCATTCCGTGATTGGATCTGAGATCGGAATGTTAGCTCCGTATCGCATCTGGTCTGGGCCACATATGCGTGGTACTTGAAGAGATGCTGCAACAAATTCAAAACCAGTAGAAGCTCCATTTTTTCGGTGTGGCACTCATGTTTAAGCCTTTAGCTACCTTTGGAGCACTCCCACTTATTTTCATACATGAATTTAAGCAACGGTAGATGATCATAGCAAGTTCCTGGCTGTTGTGGCACTCCGTCGCAACGTGTTTCCCACGCCGATGTTGACTTTGGACGTGTTCGCATCTCTGTTCGTGTCACTGTTCGCATCTATTCACTCCGTTCCAAGGACGTCGTGCACCGCACGATCTTTGTGAATGGGTACACATATGAGGTATGCATCTCAATACTATTCATTCGTTCACGCTTTCAGGACCAGAGCAATCAAGGAAAGGTGTCTCGCTCTGTGCTCAGCACGACAACATCGCCGTCTGAATTTGCTCTGATGCTTGAAGCGGTGTGAAGCTTTGCATACAATCCCTAACATATAGTTTTCTTTATATGCCAGAGAACCCGCCTCGGGACGCCAGTACAAACTTCACAAAGGTCCATGCGTAGCTTGGGCCAACATGTGCTAGGGAACTCTGCTAATGTTGTGGCTGGCAAGCATCTCAACGCAGTCGCCACAATTTTAGCCAGTTAAGCTTATCTTCGGTCTAGAGGCTTGTCGAACTCTCATTTTTTCCGTCTTCACACATCTCTTTGAAGGATGCTCGCTACATGTTGCTGACAATATTCATCTCTTGTTTGTTCACTCACATGCTCATCTATTTGTGCGGCACTACACTCAAATACAACGATCCACACCGTCAACCAACACCCACATCACCGACCACAAACCTTCCTCTCTACATCAAGAAGGGCACAATGCTGTCCAAGACCCAGGCCCACCAACAACTCCCCGTAATCCACCTCGGTGTAGCCCACCCTGAGTCCTTCCCACTTGTCAAGGACTTCCTCTATACCAACAACACCTCCGAAATTGTCGTCCCCTCTGCCAGTTCTTCGTCCAACGTCACCTCGAGCACAGTCAATGCCAACACGGAATCCGCAACGACCCGGGAGTGAAAGCGTGACATGTCCAATCGCTGAGCACCTCCAACCCTCCGTCATCCTCCAGCACCTCACTCACGTGTACTCGCTCCCCATTGCACCCAATACCGCCTCACCCTCCAAATCCTCAACTTCCAACCCTAATCTCATATCACCTACTTCCACTTCCGACGCTACCACCATCACTCTCAACCCCACCCCCTACACGACCTCGACCTCCGCCACACCCACAATCACCCAATCTGCCTACGCCACCAAATGGCCAAAATACACGCACCCGCCAAAATACACGCACCGGCCAATAATGTGGCACGTGCTCTCGTGGACTTAGAAGGATCGGGACAGGAAGTTTATGGAGAGGAAGTTTGGGCATGGAATGGAGGCACATCCGAATGTGTACTTTATAGCGAAGATTGTTGAGATGGAAGAGAAGGAGGGCGCAGAGGCCGCTGGTGGTGCTGGTGGTGTTGGTGGTGTTGGTGGAGCGGTGGTGGGAGTGGGAGAAGGATGAGTGGGAGAAGGCGTTGGAGGGGAGAGTGCCGGCTGCGACGGATTGGGGAGGGTTTGTTGCGTTGGAGGATCGATTGAAGGTCGAGGTGTACGCGAACGGGAGCAAAAATGCGAGGGTGAATAGAAGACGGAGCAGGGGTAGGAACAGGCCGTCGCAGGACGTATTAAACATGCAGACGAAGCTGCTCGACGTGATCCGCAAGTCGGTCGTCGAGGCCGCCACAAACCCCCTCGTCCTCAAACTCTCACTCAAACTCACATCTCCCTTCCTCTCTGTCCTCGCAACCAGCCCCTCCTCCTCCACCCCTCTCATCAAGCCCAACCCGACCAACCGCCCAAACCACCAACCTCACAACACCCACCCACGCCCAACACCTCGTCTCCAAAGTCCGAGACTCGCTCTCGCTCTCGAACCCGAGGAGAAGGAGAATGCGAAGGAGAAGCAAGAGAAAGAAAGGGCAGAGCTGGAGTAGGAACTGAGGTTGAACGCACTGGCGAAGAGGGCGCCGTTGGATATGATCGCGAAGGTGAGGAAGGAGTCGTTGTCGGAGCATTTGAGGGGGGGTGATGCCGACTTTGAATTGGGTGGGTGGGTGGATAGGTGGTGATGCCGGTTTTGTTGATCGGGTCGGAGGTTGAGTCTGTGTTGGTGGAGTTGTGTGGGGCGCATCTGGATGGGTGGTGGGTTGTCGCAGAGGGAGTCGTGTATGCTGCAAGCAATTAGAAGTGCTAGGCGTCGAAACCTGTATAACCTGGTTGAATTCATAAATCATAACTCTACTTTTGCCTTCATGCACAAGGACCTGACCATGTGGTGAAATACAAGTTGTTGTAAGTAGATATGCTGTTCCATAAAACAAGCAGGTCAGAGTGAGCCAGGTCGTCTCGCACCCACATGTTTGGTCAATCCAATTTCTCGCATGCTTCTCAAACTAGACCTACACGAAACAAAAAGCTGTGAACGATCACGAGCATGGATAAGAAATATTGACAGTTCCTGGCATTTGGTCCTATAGTGTGCACTGGCATCTGCCCTATATTGTGCGTGCCGCGTATAGTGTGGTCGAAATTAATTTTTGTACGACGCTATGGCGGTCGGATTGTACAAAAAAAGAATCGGGCACACTATAAGTCGCACATGCACACTATACATTCTGCACACTATAGGGAGGTCTTACCGCAATATCACCTCAAGTCTGTACCAAGGGCATGCACACATATCATTTAGCAACTGAGCCCTTAGCGCAGTTCTGTTGACAAGGGCATAAACATTATCAATAAAGAGGTAAACATTTTCTTGAAAGCGTCAACTCTTTTTTTGGGACTAAGAAGACTCAAGGGGCAAGATCATGATGTGAAGGTATGAAAGGCGAGCACAAGCAAAGAAGAGAACAGTGAGTCAGGAAAACATGAAGGGTGATGTTGGAAATAACATCTTTTATGTATGTAGCTTATGTGAATAAGAACATACGGACTGAATGCGAAGAACGCAAACAATGTTTTGGTTCGAGAAGGTAAAAAAATGTGGCGTTGAGAAAAGAAGGGGAGTACGAAGATGAAACCTTCACTTTTGGTTGTCTATCCACTCGTTCGAAGAGGGGAGGCCTTGGCGCGAACGTCAATGACTCTACCTCTCCTTTTTCCAAGGGTTTTTGTCGGGTTTTCCGGGATCACGGAAACCGAACTTGGGTTTCTTCTCGTCTCCCGGACGTGAACTGGTGGGACGGCTACCCAAGGTCGAAGGGGTAGATAGAGGTGAACCAGATATGACTGTCCCATATGATGGGCCCGTATTGCGACGGAACCACGGTGACACACTGGGCTGCTGCCTTGGAGAGTAGTGGTGTGGGGCTTGGGTCATCGAACCACCAGGAAGATATAGGACATTTGTTGATGGCATAGGCGCCTGCGCATTACTGACGGCAGCTGCCGCCGAGCTCGATGACGATGATGACGGGAAACCAGTGGGGGGTATGGAGGATGAGGCGGGTGGTTGGCTGGTGGTGACGGGCATAGATGATAGATTACTGACGGCAGCTGCAGCCGAGCTCGATGACGATGACGATGGGACACCAGTGGGGAGAATGGAGGATGAAGCAGGTTGTTGGCTGATGGTGACGGGAATAGACGATAGGTTTACATGAACAGAAGTGGGAACACCCGACGAAGGCCCTGTCAAATGAGACGTCGAGACTGAGGCCGATGACGAGGACGATGTGTATGCAGTGTTGGCAGGGGCAGGGAATGTGGAGGGCATGGCTGTGGCGGGCAGGTTGGGTGGCGTGGTGGAAGGATCGGCTTCGAGAATCTCTACGTCGTCATCGTCAATCTTGTTATCCTCTGTCAAAAGAGACATGCTTCAGCTGACAGGAAGGAACGATATTATCAGGTTCGAAACATACCGACGACAGCCCGATTACCTGTGAGGTTCAAGGGGAACTCTTCTTCGGTATCCGTTTCCTGTGAGAGGTCCATAATCTCTGCAAATTGTAGCCTCTTCAGCATCACAAGAATATTGCCTGAATAGCACAAAGACGTACCACGCGAAGAGACCTTTGTCGACTCCGATGGCGATTCATCCCCGGTCTCATCTCCCATCTCGCTACTGCTGGTGTCCTCCGACTCCGAATCCACGACTCTCGCTTTCCCCTTGCCCTTAACATCCTTCCGTACCTTCGCCCTTGCCTTAGCATTTGTCTTCCCCTTCCGTTTCCGCTTCCCCAAGCTCTTCGCACCCCCCAACCCGCTAGCTACCCCTCCAGAGGATGTCGCTGTTTTCTTCTCGAAAAGGCCTGTAACACGATCGTAGACTTCGAGGGTCTTCGAGTCCCAGGAGTCTTCGTCTGTGATGCTCCGCCAGGTATGGTCAGGGATTGTTTTGCGTAGGACTGAGAGCGATTGTGTCAACGATACGGAGCCTGTGGCGCGACAGTCAAACCAAAGCGGAACTTACCGAAGTAGAGCGTCTGATCTTTCCAACCCCGCCCATCTGGTGTCTTCGCCATCCTCAGATCCTCTCCAGTCACCAATTCCTTCTTCAACACCATAACCTTCCCTCGCGAGCCCTCATTTCTCGCCATCAATGCCCACAAGATATCACCACTCTCAACAGCGTCACTCATCTCCCTCTCGATGAACCCAAACACGTCCGGAAACAACCGCCTCATGAAGTTGTTGTCGATGTGGTCCGTACTCCAGGAGGATTTGAAGCGAAGTGCGTCTGCTTCCGTATTCTTGAGGTCTCGCAGTAATCCAGCCTTCCGAAGTGATAGGCATGCATTGGGAGATGGATATTTGCATTCATATGCTTCATCATCATCACCCTCGACGTGCTAGAGAAATCGTCAGCACTCTTCAGCTTGAATCTCGGTAAGCTCGATATTAAAAAAGCAATGCTCACCTCCTCTAAGCCGTCAGGAAATAGAACTACAGTCCCAATCTTGATCCAAGGCTCGTCATTACTGGACTTGTTTTGCTGTAGGAGAATCAAGTGGCGGTGGCCCAAAAATTTAGTGTCACACCGGAGACTCTTCGATAAGACAATCAGTCACCTTTCCCTTTAACTTTCCCTCAGAAGTACGCTTCCCCGACCCTGACACCTTACTCGAAGAGCCCGAAGCGGCGGCATTGTTTCCTTTTGTAGGGCGAAACCTCGAGAGCGCTTCTGCCTTTGCGTCCTCCGGGGACACCGCATCCCCAAGGCGTAATACATTCACAGCAGGGCGCAGATTTTTGAGAATATTCTGGGTCAACTGGTTACCGCTAGAAGTCAACTCGTTTTCTAGAGGATGAGCACCCTCGATATGGAGACAGTCGAGACATAGTTCAGGCCCAGAGTCTGGTGGAGTTAACGGCTTTTTGAATCGTCGACAAGGGCATGGCTGTCCGTTCGTCTTCGTATCAGCACAGGTGTGCGGAGCGGCCATGGTGATGGGAAGAGAATCGCGGATCAAGGACGGGATGAGGGGAGTCGAGCCAAAGGCCAGGAGAAGATAAAATTTCTTTCGTTCTTTTTGTTTTGACTTATTTGTTTGAATTTGGGCTGCTCGAGCGAGTGGATGCTGTGAGGTCGCTTGTTCAATTCAGGCTCTAGCCATATTTCGAGACATGGTTGAAGTAATTTACTATTAATATATTTATTCACCATCTTCATCTACAAGCATGGTCTGCATCAAATCTAATCCCTGAACCCAAGCCAGTGCCCGTGGCCACCAGATCTCTTCTGGAAGAATCACCTTCAGTTTCTTCTTCCCACCAACTCCAAATGTGATCGTCTCCGATAGTGGGTAGTATCTTTCTGCCCACTCCTCGGGCATGATCCCGTAACCCTCTGGTATTACTTCGCGAGCATGAATCTCATCCAGTGCAGCAAGGAATATAGCGTAAGAAGTGGGCGAAAATGGACATGAGCTTGGAGGGACAGGAATAGCGTCGTGTCGGATGTGCTCTTCAAGGTCATCGGCAAGAGTGTCGTCAATGCTGCCCAGTAAATCGTCTTGAACGTCAGTCTCGTTGTCGGTATCATCGGCCTCATCATCAGGATGACCTGCACCAGTCTCTCCGTGAGGACGGCGTCGAGGAAGGCCTTCCACGCCATAATACTCGTTCAAGACTGTCGGATTAACCCCGGGTTGATCTTCTTCTATGCCGTGCTCGTGGAAGCTGAGGAAACGGATATCCTAATTTTGTAGGATGGTGAGTTTGTCGAAGATGAATGCTGCAGAAAAACAGTTTCATACGGACCAATGGAGAAGCATTGCGTGTGACAGGACCAGAGATAGGTTGGTGGTTCCAGGCATCGACGAAGTCAGCACAGTCCTTATTCAGTGGCTCAAGGAAAAGGGTATGAAGAAGCCATAGATGGGCAGCGTTGAGACGATCAAGCCCGTGCAGCTTTTCGAGGCGCACAAAGAATGCGCGCCAACGTCGAGCGAACTGGGATCCAACCTCCACCCAGGTGCGTTCTATGCGTGTATTTTTCTCCGAGCTTGTAAACTTGGGCTCAGTCATTTGCACATATGATTGATAAAGAACAAACTCACGATCCCCACATAAAAGACGCCCGATTTGCCCCCCGATGCATGATCATACAAACTGCGACCTTGATATTCTCCCCACCACGGTCTCCGCGAGTCCGCGATGGAAAGCCATGACCATGGGTTGCTTCGATGAACAATTGAAGAACGGTGTCCGCCGTGTTGTCGGTGTGGACTCGCATACCCGTTATCTGACCCAAGGTACGTAAATGTGAAAAGTAATGCCAGGAGTGCTAGCAAGATACGACTTGAAGCCCGAACGCACCGTATGGTCATGGCCATCAACAATCCCATGAATAACAAACCCCACCCAATACCGTCTCGCCCTCCAAATCCTCCACTCCCAACCCCAACTCCATCCCGTCCTCCTCCACTGCCAACGTCACCACCACCACCCTCACCCCCATCACCACTCCCACCTCGACCTCCGCCACGCCCACGATCACCTGACTAGCCTACACCTACGCCACGAAACCACCTCGATACGCGCACTGGGAGATAACAAGGCAGGCGCCGTCAAGGACGAAGAAGGATCAGAAGCGGGAGTCTGATGGAGAGGGCGTTTGGGCGTGGAATGGGGTTGCATACGAATGCGTATTCTGCAGCGAAGGCTGGTGAGGGGAAGGAGAGGCAAGGTGCGGAGGGTGCGGAGGGTGCTGCTGGTGGGACGGGAGTGGAAGTGGGGGTGGGAGGAGGAGCGGGTGTAAAAGGAACGGGCGGGTGTGGGAGAAGGCGCAGAAGGGGAGGGATTGCCGAACGGGAACAAGAAAGGGAATAAGAATGTGAATGGGAAGAGTGAATGG